CCAAGCAGAGAACAAACGGCTACAAAGACGGCAATAGCTATAGCCTCAGGAGTGTGAAGCAGCTGGGCACATCGTGTTTAGAGTCATGAAGCAGGGTGGAGGGGTGAGGGATGGGGGGTGGAGTGGCGGGGATGTCAGCCTAGTGTCTAGATCTTTGGATGGGACAAACCACTTTCAGAATGAGTCTTCCCCATGTCAACCTCTCTGGAAGGCCCATCACAGACAGGACTTAGGTAATTCCAAATCCATTTAAGCTGACGATGAAGATTAATCACTACACCTCGAAAATACAGTTCTCCCCCTTTTCCATTCTTCTGTGATTTTCCTTTCTATGTGTTTACTTTCTGGTGTCATTTTGTCACTATGGAGCACTGCTTCTTTGCTGGGTCTGCCTGAAGTTTAACATAAGCACTTCTTTTGCCTTTTCTGAACCTGACCCTTCTTCTGGGCAAATACCCTGAACAACTTTTTAAATTTTTGTTTTCATAGATATTTATCTTTTAAGGAACACACCTATATTGCACATATCCTGTTGGGGAATAGATGTATGGGGGCTTTTCCTGGATTCTACCTTCCTGTCTCTGCTGCAGATTACTGTAAATACAGAAGACATGTGAGAAGCAGGTTCTACTGTATCCAAGATCGAAATGCACGTCTGGGTGAGAGTGTTGACCTCAGCAAACGCTACACTCAGCTACAAATGGTCAAGGAGCACCCCAGCAAGCAAGAGAGGGAGTATGAACTACTGACCATTGGCAGGACCAAAATGTGGGACAGCCCCATGAGTTCCATTAAGCTGCAGTTACTGTTTGAGCCTGAGGATAAGCACACAGAGCCTGTGCACACAGTGGTGTTCCAGGGAGCAGCAGGTATTGGGAAAACAATACTAGCCAGGAAGATTATGTTAAACTGGGCATCTGGGAAGCTCTTCAAAGACAAATTTGATTCAGTATTTTGGTGGTATTCTAATTGTACTGAAATGTGGTTTTCATTGTATGTTAATAAATAAAGTTTCCAGGGGGTCAGAGCTATTAGAGCCATAGATAGAGTGTGGCGGTAGTGGCACACGCCTTTAATCCTATAGATCTCTGTGTGTTCAGGGATACAGCCAGCATTGGAGACATATGCCTTTAAGACCTGGGGGGGCTATACATACAGACAGTGATGAGGCAGTCATGTGTTTGGGTTTACAACCAATGAGAAGGCAGAATGACTATGAAACGACTTACACACAGGGAAATAGCTCTCTTTCGGGAAGCTGGGACACCGCAGGAGGAAGGGTGAGATTTTAGCTCTGAGCTCTGGCCTCTTGGCTTTCTCTTTTACATTGTTTCTGTGTTTCTTATTTAATAAGACAGTTGGTTACATCTACATCTGGCGCCCAAGGTGACAAGAATCCATTAAAAACCGCTTAGCTTGGTGGCAGGTCTGCTTTCCCGCAAGGGCGGCAGGCCGGGCGGCCCCCTAGTCCGAGTGGTTGGCTTCCTAGCCCGGGCCTAGGTCTGCTTGACCTCAGGCCAGACTAACTGTGAGCTGCTTGCTTAAAGCCTGCTTGCTTAAAGCCGGTGCTACAAACAACTCAGACCTGCCCTGCCGAACAGGGCCCTGCCTGTAAAGCCAAACACACGTGGTCGGAGCTTAAAGAGGCCAATCAGACCTAGACCCGGGCTAGGAAGCCAACCGCCCAGCCTGCTGCCCTTGCAGGAAAGCAGACATGCCGCCAAGCTAAACGGTTTTTAATGGATTCTTGTCATGTTGGGCGCCAGATGTAGATGTAACCAACTGTCTTATTAAATAAGAAACACAGAAACAATGTAAAAGAGAAAGCCAAGAGGTCAGAGCTCAGAGCTAAAATCTCATCCTTCCTCCTGCCATGGTCCCAGC